GAGTGTCAACTGCACTAACCACGACGTCTTATAATCAAGCGCTACTGAATAAACTACATAGTCGATTGGGAATAATCATAATAATAATGTGATTATAGCTCGCATGTTAGTCCTACTTTTATATGGTTCATCAAACGTCTATATCGTTTAATCAACACTAGCCTGTCGGGTCATGGATGGGCGATTCGGAGGAGTCCCGTATTAGGAAGAAACGGCCGTTCAGTGCTTGTAGGTTTTCAATAGTGGTCTAACTTAGATCAATTCGTGATTTCAATGAAATTAAAAAATCTCTACAACCCAGTAGAATGTATGTACAAACTAGTAGTCAACAGGGCTCAGCCCGTCAATCAATGCCGTCATGACCTGAATTCTATGACGCGGAGCACTTGATCTTTCGAAATGAGACAAGACTTCTTTCGTCACTCTTATCTATCATTACAATATCTGGCAAGGTGAGTGTTATTTAATAATCCGATGAGATCACATGAACACGCGTTGTGAGCAATGAGTCAAATCACGCTCCGTTAGAAGAACATTACAATACGTATTAGACTGGAACCGACATTGTGAATTTGACGGTAAACCCCCTCTATGAATTCTCAGAACAAGTTATTTCAACAAGTTACTTACGCAACAACAACAACAAAAAACAGTAACAAATACAAAAAAAAATGAAAACGGTTTTTAAAAAAAAACAAACCGAAAAACTGTACAACTTTTAAAATTAAGGACATGTTAAGAATGCAAGTTATTGACTAGGTTAATTCTAACAACCTGTTCGTCACAGAGTATATTTACTAGGTAAGGTATTATATAACTTTGATACTTTTGCTTGCGTGCATGAATTTTGATGTAATTACGTCTCGTTCTACCAGAAGATATACAAGGAGAAAGATAAGAGTGAAGGGGATGGCTAGTATCTGGTAAAATAACACCTGTCAGGAGTTTGCATGATTTTAGATGTCTATCCACAATCATATTAATTATGACCTCGAAAGATTCACCACACATCTTGCTAACTGCCTTCAGCACTCTCCACAATACAGCAAAGTCTTTTCTCAAAAGCCCGGGAAAGAATAATGGAGAACGGTAAAGAATAATGGGTAATATGGAAGAATTGACAAATTGTAATGGTAAATGACGAGTAATCCTAAGAGTATGCAATCTCTTTATGTAGTAAGTCAAACGGAAAACCTTCTTTGACAACAATAAAACGTGGGAAGACCAAAACAGATCAGAGGAAAAGGTAACACCAAGATAATTGGCCTTCGACACTGTGTTTATCAAAGAGTCTCCAATAGCACAAGCATTATGGGATCTCAAAATGGTGTTTAGATTCCGTTCATGTCTCATGCTAAAGTTAACAGCTTGACATTTAGACGGATTAAGTATAAGACCATTACCAACAGACCAACAATCAATACGAGACAAAAACTCATTCATTTCTATGGAATGTAAAGAGGAAGAGATAGGCATACATACAGTGAGATCATTCGCATATTTCAAAAAAGTGTTTTCTGTGGAAGATGGTAGATCATACAGAAAAAAAGAGTAAAGAAGAGGTGAAAAAACAGCTCCTTGTGGTACACCTTCATGAGATAGTAGAGACTCTGAACACTTTCTTCCAAACACAGTGTACTGTTCCCTTCCAGAGAGGTAGGAACATAGCCAGTTGGTTATCCAGCTGTCAGTGCTGATGCTGATTAACTTGTTAATTAAACGTTGTCTTGGTATAGAATCAAAAGCTGAAGTATATTCCAGAAAAGCACATCGAGCATACTTCTTACCCTTTTCTAAGTTGAACACTATGTTGTGATGCAGAACAGCAACAGCATCTAAAGTGCTTCTTTTGCGTCTGTAAGCAGACTGATATGGATCAATATGCTCTTTTATCGCAGGCTGAAGTGGAAGTATTAATAATTCTTCCATTGTTTTGAGGAAGGGTGAAGTTATTGCAATAGGTCTAAATTTTACATTCTTATCACCAGATGCTTTCTTGGGTACCGGGATTATCTTCATCTTTCTCCACATTTTCGGTATGAGATCAGATGAGAAAGATCTGTTAAAGATAGTCGTGAATGGATAACATAGGACTTCAGCACATTAAAAAAAAGAGGTTTGGGATACCATCAGGTCCCAAACATCGAGATGAATTAAGCGTCTGGAGACATCTTCGTACATCAGTTTCAGTGGAAGTAGGAACACAGCTATTATTTAAACCCGTGGATAGAGGGAGCATCACATCAGATGACTGACGTACAAAAGACTTATTTAAGTCACAAACATTCAGCTGGTTATCGTTTCTAAACTGTCTGTCACCTGTAAGTTCTTTAAAGAGTTTCCACATACTTGGAGAGTTTTTGCAAGACAAGAGTTTTTGAGTAAACATACAGTTGAGACGTCTAATCTCTAGGTTTATCAGACCATTTAGCTTACGAACTTCATTAGAGTTCTTCTCCTTGTACATTCTTTCTTTCATCCTCCGTAGTCGTTTTAGTTGTGTAGATGTAAGTCGATCAAAACTTACAAAAATGGTTTCAGTGGGACGACAAATATCAGAACAGAATTTAAGGTAACAAGTGATAACATCAGTAGCGTTTTCCAGTGAGTCATCTGTAAATAATTCCCAGTTTGTCGTATGAAACATGTTTTTCAGATTTCGGATATTTTCTTCTGAGTAATTCCTATATTTGACTTTCTTGGTCTGATGTAAGAGTGTACTCTTCCCATGCTTTCCATATACTTTAGGTAGAACACGAATTACACAGTGATCCGAACTAGACAATGGGGCACGTTTACGAGTCGCATATATATCCACATCATTAATGAAAACGAAGTCTAAATGAGCATCCAAACGAGTAGGAAAATCTACTACGTTTTGGTGACCTAGTGACGTAAGGAAGCTACAGTCACATGAATTGAAATCACCACATACAACTGAAAGTGAAAGACTGAAGTCAGTAACAGCGAACTCAGTGAATTCATCAGCGAAAACAGATAGTGCAGATGGTGTGCAATCTGGAGTCACATAGATATTGGTAACATAAACATATTTGTATTTATTCAGATTTTTTGGACGACATCTTAGAGTTAGACAGTCGATAAAGTCATTTGAAAACTTAAAACACATAAACGAAGATCGACACCAGTTTACGTTTACAAACGTAGCTACACCGCCACCACACCTCTTTTTATTGTTTGATCGATCCTGACGATAAATTTTGAAGTCACGTAGTGATACTAGGCAGTCATCCTGTAAATCATTTAACCAAGATTCTTGAATTGTGATGACACCACAATTACGATACATATTTTGACTTAGTAGGAATTGCAGATAGTCCAGTTTGTTGATTAGTGATCGGCAGTTAGAATTTAGCAGCTCGGGAATGGACATACGATTAATATTAATTCTCCTTAACGCATATTGCCAACCACCACGATGTCTTTTATAGTACTTTTTTGTAACCTGTGCAGCGAAAGGTCGTAGGCTTTTCATAAAAGTGCCTGAATAGGTTATGGGATTAATGGATATAATGATAAGTTAAAACAAACGAAAAAATAGATAACTTGTTGAAATAATCAGATGGCAGAAACAGGTAGCCCAGATATTCAAGCAGACTGTCATTTATTATCAGTCTATGATGTGTGACATTTCTTTGAGCAACAACAATAGTAGTATCGTTAAATACCTAAATAAATTTATTGTCAAAATTTCCCTGATTAACACATTATAACCAAACAGTGTTTACAGTAACTTTAATAGATAAATCAATATATATTCAGTAAAATTCAAGCGATGGAAACGAGTATGTATGCAAGAGAAAAGTCGGTGTTTATAGTTTACTTAGAACAGTTAATTTTATTGTCCGTTTAAAAGGATAAATCAATAAATAGAATTATTTTGTATTAATTTCATGTTTTAAAGATACAAATATGTTTTTCGGTTAGATGAAAAATTTGTAGAAAAAAAGAGAGGGAATACGAATCAGAAATATTTTTAATTGAAAAGAAGTAAATTACAGTTTAATAAATAGAAACAAAAAGAAGTTTGTTCTCATTCATCAATTGAATAGATTATGATAATTAAAAAAAAGGTGAATAAATTTAAACAAAGTTATAATCAAACGACTTATTTTTATGTTAATTGATCACCTGAGGTTATCCTTAATGTTTCTAGTGTTTCCTGAGTATTTTCAATCATTTCCTCATTTATTCAGTAAATGACTGATAGATATTAGACGATAATTTTCATCAAAGATTTCATTTCAAGCATGTTGAGTTATCTGAAACTGTCTGGCATGAACATGTCGTCTAATGTAGAACTGACCAGTATATCGGATGAAATCTTTAATGAAAATTACACTCTATTATTTAGTAATCACTTATTAAGGTAACGGAAAATAATAGATTTTGCTGTTGAACACAATACACTAGTTGAACGTTGGAAACATTCTGGATAAACTCAGTCTAATTGATCGTATAGGATTTATTATAAAATCAAATTTTAGTGTTAGAGTTAACGTTTAAGAAAGGTCATTCACATTGAAATTAAAAAGTATTCGATGGATTTTCAACAAGAACTGACATTATCTAGAGATTCATTAAAAGATAGCAACTATTAAACAGTTATACAGTCAAATATTTTGTCTGTATCACATAAACTTTGTTATTCACGATATGAAGATGAATTTGAGGCTCATAAGATAAATAAATTGGTTAACTCTTTCACAAGCTCTTCTTTCTATTGTAAAATCATGCATCAATAAACGACAGTGTTGGAATAATAGTTTGGATTTATAGGGAAGAATTATATAAAAATTATGACTGAAGTAACTTTATTTTATTATTGTACATACTTAACGGGACCATCTTATTTGAGCACCACATATTGACTAAATGTTCACATCGGTAAGAAATTTAGTATTCTATTTAAACGTCTATATTTAGCTTTAATGTCAAGCCACTTCGTCTTTTATTTTAGAGTTATATTGAAAATATAATCATGAATGTGCTTTTAAAAAGTTGGATAATCTACTCAAGAAAATGCACATTAAAGAATCAGGGCCTTTCTCTGCATTTTGGATGCATTTGTTTAATATTCTCGGTATAATATTATAATATAATCTTACCTCTTTTCTCCTAGTAACCACATCTTGGTGTTCATCGATATTATCATCAGGTATTTCATAAATAAAAACATGAGCATGAAGAAAAGTGAATAATGTGACAGAGAGGAGCCAAAGACCAGAGCTTAAACATCCAACCCCGATCGATAATATATCTCTATAGTGAATACAAAAAATGTTGAATAAAAATCATAACATTACATTTGGTTAGTTAATGAAGGTTTTGCACAATACATTATTACAATTAAATAATCTAAAACTTTATTCTCTTTACAATGTGTTCTAAATATTATCACCTGTCACTGAAGGGTTCCAAACAAAGGAGATAGCTATATGAGTGATGGTAACTGTTGTGTTCCTTGACCGCTCACTACACTTTTACCTAACATACTATGTGAGAGAATACTGAGAAATAAACAGGAGTTTGTAACTGGCAAACCGGATAATGTATAGGAATCATAGGTATAAATGCATCTATCCTTCGGATCTAAAAAAGAATATGCAGGCTATATGAAATAGCGTGGGTTGTTTATCATCTTACTTACCGTTTGGATTTCAAATGGCATATAGACACAGTCTCATGAAATGTCTGGACACATTCGGCCAATCAGCAATGAGTTCAATCACTGAATCAGGTAGGTTATGCTCAATTATGATGATTATGATTAACGGGGAAAGTCCAGCTCATAACGGAATCTTACCAGCTATCAAAAAAATATATGTATTTAAGACTCTACTTTCGCTTATCAAATAAATTGTAGTGTATTTAAAAAAGCATGTTCGATTGGAGTACTATTCGGTAAACATTTTACTATCATCTCACAGTAATACTCAGATATACAATGATAATATCTCTCATAGTTATATTCAATGTCAGTAAACATATGGTCATGATATTATTGAGACAATTTAACAATTTAACATTAATTTTCATTTACTAGAATTTAAAAAATGTCTGTTGTTAAATTACGATCTACAGTAAAGACATGCATTACTAATGAAATAGTGAGATTATATTCAGTAGCTAATGAGCCTTTGTGGCAGATAGCCTGCATCTTATTAAAAGTGAGGTAAAACTTACTAATACTGAACTGTTAACACATTTAGGGTTGATAATAGATGAGAAGAATAAGGAATACTGACCATAATTTGGGAATTTTTAGATATAACTCAAAGGCCCTTACTAACAATCTAACTATTTCAAAAATGTGTATCTATAACAACGATGTCAGTGTTCATTCAATAAGTGCATACCTCAAAGGAGACTGACCAAATGCAATCGATTATATTAACGGCAGGGAATTACAATTCTTTTTTAATATATGAGATCATGAGTCAATTGAAGTTAGACCACCATGGAAAACCTGGAAGCACTGAACGGCCTTTTTGTCCTATTGCGGGACTCCTCAGCAGTGCTCATCCACGATCCCGCTTTGCGAGATTCGAACCCCAGACCTATCAGCCTCGCGCGTGAGTGCTTAACCTCTAGACCACTGAGCCAGCATCCAACGGTGTTAATGTCTAATTTCAACTAATTCCATGATGGTCTAGCTCCAATTGACTTATGATCTCAAATATTAAAATTACTATAATATCCACAAAACCCCTTCTGATGCAATTCTTTTTGCTAAGATATATTCCCAGTAAAGGTGAATTGGAATCATCAACGAAATAGAAACCAATCGTTATCTACACATAACCTAGCTAAATGGCTAATAAAATTGCTGGATCCTATCTGAAGACGTTCATGTATTCTCAAGTTCAATTATTCTCTGAAGGATTCTTTTGAACTAGTCGATCATTTAGGTGATATTGATATCAAGAGAAATACAATATGTTCAATTGACGTGAACTCCTTGTTCACAAATGTACTTTAGAAAAAGACTATTGATATACTATGTAACTACATGTCTTTGGACAACCTTAAATTACCAGTTCCTTTAAAAATTCTTAAAGATTTACTACTTTTATGTACTAACAAAGTCCAGTTCACATTTGAAGGTGAGTACTTTTGTCAGACAGATGGGGTTACTATGGGTAGTCCATTAGGATCATTATTAGCAGATGTTTTCATGACACATGTTGCAAATCTAGCTGAAGACCTCATCGAAAACATGTCTCTTTATATGAGATATGTGAATGATATCTTAGTTATCTATGAAAGATAGGAAGATATGAATTGTTTATTGAATAAACTTAACACTTCAGGACCACACCAGAGGAGAAGAACGACTAACTTCCTTTCTTATATGTACTTCTAAGTAGACGAGAAGACAATTCAGTCAAATGATCCATTTTTAGAAAACCTACTTGGACAGGCCAATACCTTAGTTACTATAGTTACTGCCCAGTGCAGTACATACGGGGTTTGTTAAGGTGTCTATTTAGCAGACTTGATCGTATTTGTAAAAATGACGCCATTGATGATGATGTTAGGTTGCCAAGTCAAGCATTAATAGAAAATGGGTATGCTCTTAAATGCATAAATAGATGGAAAGCCCATAGTACAGTGAGACCTACTATAGCCTTGGCACAAAAATCTTGTCTACATCACCTCACCGTTTAGAGGTGATTAAAATGTATTTTATTGAAACAAAGGCTTAAATCTAAATAAGAACTTTCGTCTAAATTTGAACGAATAGTTTCACAATATGATGTTAATGTGAGTCATTAAAGAGGAATAATATATATTTGTAAAATCTCAGCGAAAGAATTTGAAGTAATTCCAACATTTCGCCTGGCAATCTGGTCCAAGCTTTTTCAAGGAAAATATAATCAAACAACAAAATTATATTTTCTTTGAAAAAGCTTGGACCAGATTGCCAGGCGAAATGTTGGAATTACTTCAAATTCTTTCGCTGAGATTTTACAAATATATATTATTCCTCTTTATAGGCTTAAATCACTTATTATTATTATTATTATTATTATTATTATTATTATTATTATTATTATTATTAGCTTTATTCAATATTATATTTTTGGTACAATATAGAATTCTCAGCGTAAAGTATTTCAACAAGTTTCCGTTTCTTTCTTCTTGGTCGGTCCTGGCGATAAATATTGAGTGATCACCAGTTAGATGTTGGCAGTTCAGTAAATGAACGTCTGAATAATGTGCATTCTTTTCGCTGTATATTGCCAGCAACCGCATTGTCTCTTATTGAGTTTTTTGTAACTCTGACAACGAAAGGTTGTACACTTTTCAGAAACGCAGCAGAATAGGTTATGCGATTAATAAACATAATGATATATTAAAACAAACAAAAATAGATAACTTGTTGAAATATCTGGATGGCAGGAACAGGTAGCCCAGATGCTCAAGCAGGCCGCCCTTGTTGTGCTATGCAGCAAAGGTCATTAACAAAGTAAAACAAGCCCTGCTTCACCAAAAACCTAAAAGATATGAAGACGATTACGTCACACCTCACTGTGTTTATCAATTCATATGTGTATGTGTGTGGTCACACATACAAAGAGAAGAGTAACCATGATCTCCATATTAGGATATCTGAACAAATAAAATCAAATGACCCAATAGGAATAGAAGATCATAAACATTCATCATCCTCTGTTGCCAAACCCAGTTGAAACAGATCATATGACTGATCTTAACACGGCTTTTGTGGTGTTGTACAAAAGTGTACAAGGGCACATACTAAGATTTATTGAAACCTTAGCTATACGAAAATTCAAACTTCCTTCATATATTCAAAAACAGTTTGTTCTCACCTTCAACCTACCCTGGTAATATTAGCTTATTATCCAGAGTGATGAGGTTTCAAGTTGTTTTTCATACTGTTTTCTTTATTATCTTTGTTTCCTCTTACCCTCTATTTCTAGTCTAGTTGACAAATGTTCTTAACAAGTATATTGTGTGTGATCAGATTGTTCGAAATGTATTGGGCTAATATATCATCACATAGTTCTGATAATCTTCGTCTTCTTATTATTACGCTATCGAAATTTATCAAACGGACTAATTGTTTCAAACTACATTTTGTGTAAAAAAATTTGTTCAACCTACTGATCTGTTACTTTATTCTAAAATCTCATTAACACGGCTCAGTTTCGTGTTTAATTATCATGGAAGTACATTAAAATTCACGTCATCAATTAAACACTGGCAGTCGATTGCAATTTTAAATTCTGTATATTATTTGCCTTAAAAAAATTAAATTTGGATAATTATTTGCCATTTCCTATTCACATTAACTGTACATATTTTCCCTTGTGTTTTCCTGGTAAAAAGCTTCTTGACTTTATCCAAACTTAGCTGTTGTTACAGATGAATATGTGTGTGTCTTTGATCACTGGGAAATCGTTCATTACACATCGACAAAAGATTGAACAACTTATTTAAATTAGTTCCATGTTCATAACAAATGTAAATTTGTATTATTTCTTGTATATATTACATTTTCTGTATTACTTTTGTATCGACTTGCCTCATAAAGCATGTAACTGGGTTTTATTACCATCATTGTTATTTAAAACTGGCGGTAAAAACTGAAATGAAGTAAAGGAATTAGCGAATACCTCATATTTAAAAATTGGTTGGTATTGGGATACAATATAGTACACATTACAATGTGTAGTAGCATGACAGGGAGAGAGGTTTGGAAGATAGTATGAGTATGTATATATGTATAAGACCATGTATGTATGTGAGAGGGAGTATAAAAGAGGTAAATTCAGAGAAACATGTAAGATTTATTCATTTTTTTAACGAATATATAGAATCATCGGCATTTCTAGCTTAGTTTGAACTACTTATGTGTTTATACAACGGATCCCATAATTTTTTGTTTAGTCACAGACACAAATTATTTTTCCCATTGAAGATGTATATTTAAAGAAATGACAAAAATAGCCAAAAAAGTAACTGAATACCACGGAAGAATTTTAAAATTTATGACCATTTGTTTTTTTTAAGGTCTAGGCTTAGTTAATGGTAAGAGAGAGGATAGATATTACTATATTACTAGACGATTCAATGGCGAGAGTAAAATACTAGGTTTACTAATAATCCACATACGCAATGTCTTGGAAATGGTATGCACAAAGAAACTCACATGGAATCAAACTCGGGAGATTTCTCAGGAACGCAGAAAGAGAGCACAGTACTTTTAGATTATTGAGTTAAAATCTAATAGG